AGGGACTCCACCCGGAGCCTTTGGCTTAATAGCCTGACCCACTAGACAGTGGGGAGCAGATCCAGCTCAGGAATGTGATCGCAGAGACAGATTGGGATCTGCTTGACGGCCGTCACACGCAGCCTTGGAGGTACTGGAACGATTAATATATGTTTTGCGACCGGAATAGGGTACACCTACGACCACGGCCAGACGAAGGTGGGTTTTGGCGGGTTTGCACCAATTTGACCAGGGGCTGCCTGGCTTGAGGCGGGCAGTAGCAAACCATTGAACAGCCGAAGGTGCCCTCCCACCGTCAGAGACAATGCGTGGTGCTCGTGCTCTACACCAATCGAGCTGTGAGCTTGTACCCCGTAGACCTGTTGTCTCCCATGGCTAGGTTTAACGGGAAGAGGGCCATCGACCACTTCCTAACCTCCGAAGAAGATGGACTAGGACACTGGCAGGGCTCCCACACCTGACAGGAGAACGACTCGGGTTCTCAGCCAAAACCTTCGATTAAATGAACACCCGAAAGGCAGCGGGTATAGCATATGGTCAGTTCATAAACTCATGCGGAGGAGGGAGAAGGGCGAAATCTAACACCCACAGAGCGGTCGCCACGAGGAGGCGTCCAGGACATGAGCAAATGGCACAACAGTAGGCGCAGTGAGTAGACGTCTGCCAGGATCTAGCCACCACCAGTCTCAGCGCACCATAGGCTCTTCCGCCAGTGTTGCATATATATATATATATATATATATATATATATATATATATATATATATATATATATATATAAGGAACCTATCTCCTAACAATTTACTGATGTTGTGGCCATCGCAGAGGATAGTCAATTGGCGCCCTATCTGCTGAATCGAGCAGGGTGGATAGAGGTTTGGATGCTACCGCTCAGGCATTCCCGTCTTCTTATCCTCTTTCCTAAGCTGTTTCATCCTAATAGTCCAGCTCCAAATTTACTTTTATCGCCCCATTTTCAAACCCCCAATTCTTGGCCCTCCCCACCTTGCTTCGATAATCTCTTCTCTTCTAGTTTCAAATCACACACAATCGCAGGGCCTCGTTTCAATCCAGATGACAAGTCCATGTTCAACCAAGCGGACAACGTCAATTCATCTGTTTCCCTTTGCAGTCCTCGCATCTCGTTAAGACTGGCATGCCTCAACGTGCGCACTTTGCTACACATTGCCTAACAAGCAGCACTTGCCCGCACACTAGAGACTCTGTCGATCGATATTTGCTGATTATCAGAAACCCACTTGCAAAAGCCGAGCTCCGTGTTTACACTGCGATCCCCCACATGCGACACTGGCGGCATATTCTCGTTGCGCCTGTCTGGTGATAATGCAGCTTCGAATGCCGGTCAAGCTGGCGTCGGCATTGTGTTGAGTCCCCGGGCTGAAGCTGACCTCATCGATTGGATCCCGGTAAACAGTAGGATGTGCGCCGTTAGACTAGCTGGTATGTTCCATGCTACGAAGTCGCGCAAGAACAAACGGTCCCCGTTTGTCATTGCGGCCTACGCCCCCAAAAACTGTAGCACTGATTCGGTGAAAGATGATTTCTATCAGCAGCTTCACGATCTCCATCGTTACAGAAGGAGCACGGATACTGTGGTGTTGGCTGGCGATCTAAACGTCCAAGTCGGAAAATTGTCCTCTGATGAGCTTCATCTGGGCGGCCAACATGGTGTAGGCTCCCGTACTGATAACCGTGAGGGATTGCTACAGTTTTTTGAAGATGCTCGTCTCTATTTCGCGAACACAATTTCGACACAGCACCCGCAGAAGCGTGACTTGGCGGCCACCAGTCTCGGGCCAGCCATGGACGCAAATCGATCATATCGCGATCAGTTACCGCTGGAGAGGATGTGTCCAAAACTGTCGCTCGATTTGGAGCCCTAGCGCGGACTCCGACACCCTCTCTTGTGTACGGATCTGCGGGTGCGTTTCGGTGGACATCCGCAATGTCGATGTGAACAATTGACACCAGCCAGCTGGCGAAGCCAGGTGTTCTGAATGTGTGTCAAAGTGCGCTGACGTTCGGGCTGAGTAAGCGCCCACTAAACACTGTCGATGATCACTGGTCGCATATTCGTCAAACGTTACCATCAGCAGGCATGTCCTCATGTGGCAAAGCAAAGTGCCAAACTGGACATTGGGTCTCCACACAGTCTCTGGAACTGATAGATGCGCGCAGACGTATTCCGGCGGGGAGCGAATACAATGAGGCTCGCAAAAATCTCAGGACAGAACTACGTGCTACGCTGAAGAAAGACCGCGAAACCTCGTGGTCTCATCGTGCATCTGAGATGGAAACAGCCGCTACCGTTGGCAATCATCCTAAGTTATTTCGTCTGATACGGGAAACAGGCAGCAGGAGGCCTGGTGTTAGCGAGACCATACGCGACAAGAGTGGACAGCCGATCCACAGCCTGTCAAAAAGCTTGGAGTGTTGGGTTGAAAACTTGGCAAGGCAATTTAACCAACCTGAGTTATCGGTTGCTTTTTCGGGCATTGAGCGCAATTCTCCCTGGACCGTCTTCTTGGATCGGCCCTCACGCGCAGAAGTCGAACGTGAGAATAGGCTGTTGAAATTGCATAAGGTCACAGGGCAGATAGAATTCCCACAGCCCTTTACAAATTCGAGGGACCTGCTCTAGTAGATGATTTACAAGAGTTGCTAATGAAACCTTGGGAGCAGGAGACAGTCCCGACAGACTGGAACCGCTCCGTCATTGTCCCATAATTCAAAGGAGGCTCCCATTCGAAATGCGGCAATCATAGAGGGGGCAGTCTGATCACAACTGCCTCTAAACTGCTTGCGTCTGTCATTCTCCACAGACTGACTGACACTCGTGAAAGTCAGATTTGTGACGAGCAAGCCGGACTTCGTCGAGGTCGGGGTTGCATCGACCACACCTTCACCTTGCGTCAATTGTTGGGGCACCGCCATGTTTGTTGGCGACTCACCGTTGACATAAACGGTGCCTTCGACTCAGTCGATCGAGGTGCCCTTTGGGACTGTCTGCTGAAGAAAGGTGTGCCTGATAAATATGTAAACATTATCAAAACGCTGTAAAGGCATAGTTCGGGCAGAGTGAGGGTTAATGGCAAACTGTCGCCACCCTTCAGTATCACCAGCGGTGTGAGACTAGGTTACCCGCTGTCACCTTTCTTCTTTAACTTCGCTATTGATGAAGTCATGAAAACAGCGTTCGCTCGACACGACCTAAAAGGTGTGGAGCTACTTCCTGGTGAGCGACTTCTTGACTTAGAGCATGCGGACGATATTGTCCTAATTTGTGACAGCTCCCAAACATGTCAAGCAGCAATGGACCGAGTAGCACTGGCTGTCAATAGTTTTGGGCTATGCTTTGCTCCATCGAAATGCAAAGTACTTCACCAAGATTGGCAGGGACCCAACCCTGCGCTAAGGCTTTGTGGTGATCGGCTAGAAGTCGTTCAGGAATTCAAGTACCTGGGCAGCTATATGAACGCCTGTGGGACTGCAGATGAGGTCATGAACCTTATAGCAAAAGCTCGAGATTCAAGTTGAATTTAGGGAGCATGCTGTGTGGTTGGGTTGCGACTCGAAACCTCTATTGAGATCTCGGTTCACTTTGAGGTAAACCTCGGTCATTCCGATCTCGAGGACCGTATCATGAATGGAAGTATTTGGGTGTTGCCAGTGTTGGGAAGAGCAACACCCAAATGTATCCAAAATCTCGAGATGCTTTCGCTGATCTCCGCCACCTGTGACGCAGACGCGAAATTACTCTTGTCCTGAAGGGCAGAGTTTATAACGCAGCCGTCCGTTCAACCCTCCTATACGGTTGTGAAACCTGGCCCCTCAGGTCGACAGACATAAAGAGGCTAGTCATGTTCGATCAGCGCTGCCTTCGCAGCTTAGCTCACGTCTGGTGGGAGCACCGCGTGAGCAATGAATTTGTTCGGCGTCGCGTATTTGGTGCAGGAAGAACGAGTGAATCACTCAGCACCATTATATCACGCAACAGGCGCCGATGGCTGGGCCACGTGTTGCGCATGTCAGCACACCGACTTCCGCGACGTGCATTGTTTGAGCGCTGGGGGTGCGGTTGGGAGAGAAGGAGACTAAGCAATGATTTGGTCGAGAGAAATGAAACCCCTTACTTCGAAGTTAGCGTCGGTTGGTGCATCTCGACTGCCTGGGTGGGGTCGTAAGAATGATGAATATGTTTGGTTGGACACATTTGCTGATATGGCTAGAAGCTGGCCCCAATGGCGTTTGTGTTGTGAGTTTCTTTGTCCATCCCCTTCCTGCTTAGCCTTCCCCTCCAATCACGATCGCATTCGCTAGGCATAATATAACTCCTTCTACGGCACGATGGCCGGCTGTTAGCTCTCCGGAACGATGTTCATCCGTTAGTGGGGACTCAGCCGGCGCACCACCGCTGTATTTATTTTCTTGCCTTTTGTATTGCGGCACAATAGCTGAGGTGTTTTTCAACTGCAGCTAACGTGTATAATGAATGAATGAATGATTCGCCGATGAACACAGCTAAAAGGCAGAAGACGCGAGAATAAGAGAGATAATCAAGAGGAGCCACGAAACTAAATAACGCCTTCCATTTTGGTGCGATATGATTTTATGTTTTACGAATAACGAATTCTTGTCGCTGCGAAGACTTTACCTTGATTCCCGGAAAGCGTTAAGACAGTAACTGCGTTTCCCGTCCTACGACGAATGGTGAGTCAGCTGACTGCGAGGAGGAATCACAAAAGAAACTGCTGCCACGAGAATGCAATACCGAATGAATTGCAGACCCAGGACGAGAATCCCGGGTAGACGTTTAGTAACCTATCGAAGGTGTGGGCTTCTGAATGACGATAACAATATATAGAATGTTGACGGCATCCATAGCATAAGATTCAAAAAAATAGACTAACACCTCATTCACAAGGTAAAAAAACACTACAGGCATAATGGAAAAAAGCTTGAGCACAGAGCAAACGAACCTGGAACAATCCACCCTCTGGACAAGTGGGAGACGGAAGGATGATCTGGTGATCGGTGAGATGGTGTATTTTGGGTCGTATTTTGACAACTCATCACGATAATGGTTCAGCTGCACCATCCGTTCATACAGTGATGTCTCCAGTTGATAAACCTCAAAGAAATAGATAAGACAGATATAGACGATAATGGAGCCTTGGTAACGCCAAACCGCTAGGAGCATCATTGGAAGAAGCCACACTATAGAAAGGAGCCCGTGCCACATTCAGCATTATGTCTGGCAGTAAAGCGTCGATACCAACGCTGAGCTGTGAACTTCCCGCAATGAGAAATTGGGAGGGGGTGAAGCAGATATGAGACCATAGAGCCAGAGTAAGTACTTCGAATACTACGAATACAACAGCGTTGTAGGCAAGAAAACAAGAAGTGTTCACAACTCGTTGAACTAAAGAATGCATTGTTCTCGTTTTTACGTCCCACATAAAAGTAAAAAGTGCACCGATAGATTGGAGAGCATAAGCCGCGGAAGCTTAATAGGCGAATGTGTTATTGTAATAGATTTGTCTGAGGAGCACACAACCATCCAAAAACTGTGCAAGGAAACTGTTAACCCCTAGGGAGTGGGTCAAGCCAACTAGTCTGAAAATAGCAAGAAGGTAGTTAAATAATGCACCGCAGCTGATCGTAAAAAAAACTCGGCCAGACAGCAAGTAGACCTTTTCATGTCTTCGTAGCACTCTCTCCCAATAGGTGAGGCATTGTACTCACCATACTGCTTCCGTGGGCCAATGGCTGCCACTACTGCGCTGCGGAGAAAGACGATACTATCTGATCGGGCATGCTGTAATATAACCCACAGTTTGTAGACAACTGAGTTCCCTATAGTTATTGCCAGTGTTACCTAGAAACCGAAGCTGCCTTCTTGGTTAAGCAACTCGGCCGTCGGCAGTGGAGTAACGGTGAAAGGATCGTTTCCAGCAGATGACTGCTGACCGCCCGTGTAATGTTGACTAAAAAGACAGCTTGTAGAGTGAAGTGTGGGGTGCAGTGTCGAAAGAACATGGAAAGCACTGACTGAAGAAATGAATGAGGCTGTTAGTGCACTTTAATTCAGCGAAGTCGGACACGTTAGTGAGTAGAGATTCCTTCTGACTCGATGAATTGGTGAGATTGCTGCTGCGCATGGACGTCAACCCTTCCTCCGGATGATCAGGGCGCTCTTTCTTGGACCATTTTCAAGTAGACTGTCACAGTGGCCGATGCATCGCTATGGAGCCAAGTGATCCCAATCAGGTAAAGGAAAATGATAAAACGCGGGTTCTAGCCTTTCACGGTATAGATGGAATGTGCAGTGCTGACGAGTCCAGAAAGAGGGAACTGACTGTCCAGTGTTCTTCCGGAGGAGCATCGGCTGACTGACTGCGCATATGGTGAATCCTGCTCGAAATTTAATTAAAATCCCACTCTTCAATACTGCTACCGTTTGTTTGTTAAGACTTACCATCACACTGCACTGAGCCATGGATACTTAATGCTATCATGGCGAAGCGAGTGAGGTGATGGGACTCAGTGCACCACGACGTGCGGACAAAAGCTGATCTAATAAACAGAAATAAAAGTTGACTTTGTATAAGGCGATCAAGCGAAAAAAATTCACGCGCGAAGTGCAATATTAGGAGCTGTGACACAATGGAAATTGTACTGTATCATCTAAACGAATCGTTACGATTATGACTTTTAATATAGCTGGTATCGATGGACCGAACAAAGATTGAATGTTAAATTTAATGATTCCCTGTAAGACTTAATCGAGCTTGTTTGCCTTGCATTTTGTTAAAGGTTTTCGCTCCCGATCGCTTGTTCTGCTTTCCGCTCATCGGAGCGTCGCCGTTGCGTGACTGCGCCATTATATCGGACTGCTAATGCATTTACTAACCCACTCGTTACCGTCTGTGTGTTTGCTGTGTGATTCATTTCAGCTTGGTTCGCCTGCCTGTGTCTCGAACTTGCTCTGACGGAATTATTACATTTGGCATCGAGGGCATGATAAGGAGAATGCTTCTGGCAATTGCTTGCCATCTTTTGCTGCCACCTCAACCCCATAGTTTTTTATCCAGACGATGATTTTGAGAGCTGGGCTCTTCATATGGCTTCCTACCTTTCTGGGACAGCAGAAAAATATCATGGTCGTTACGGTATCAGCTATCTGAGTTTAAAAACTATCGGCTTACTCCGGTCTACCGGTATCCGACCTGATGCATCTCCAGAGCAAGTTTGCAACGCCTTATGCAATGTGTTTCTCAGGAAGAACCCCGCTGCCCTTCTAGCCTGTTTAAGGACTACTGCATTTAAAACAACTCGCAACGAAGTCTGTGCAAATGGTCCGCAGCCTGACGACTCATATCATATTATAACTGACTGTCAATCCGAACTCATTTTCTGCACAACCACTGGAGCGGAGTTGGCGTTGATTGGAAAACTCCGCTGAGATGCCTCTGGTCATCCCATGCGCCCTACATATCCTTCCGCCTCGTGACCTTCCTTCTTCAATGCGAGGATCACTAGCACGCTGTCCGTGTCCTCAGATAACCCGGTTATAACCTCATCCCCCATCGTGTGTGCTACATACGCTCACACCCTTGTGCCGTGGTTCATCATTCGTTTACGCATGCATTCTCTCACTAACCATACTTGACCTTATTTGATTTTGTTCCGTAACCGATGCCCTATGCACTAGGCCTGAGGTTGCTATCATGGCATTGTAACATAATTACCGCTTCCTCTGAGTGATGCTCAGGTCGTCATGTTTAATTGTGTGTGCTTTCTGTAAACCACTCACGCTGTGATTGGGCCATGGATGATTGGTCCTTGCCAATAATTTAACTTGTCCTCTGGCCATCTGCTTGAACAGCACTTTCCTTCCCGTCGTGTAATTGCATTTTGTTGCTGACGGTGACACACAGGGATCATGAACAATTGAGGTATGTCCGATTTACTTAACTGTATGTAATTTAATAGTACCGTAGATATTGCGACCTAATTTTGTTCTGTTTTCGGATTATTGGCTACGCGTAATTCAACGTTCGATCGGTGAACGTTATAAGCACTATCGAGTGAACACGACGCCTACAAAGTCTCACGCGCCAGCGTCACTCCATTACTTATCTGTGCCAATGAACAGGAATAGTTGTACACTTCGGAATTTGCCGAATCGCTTACCTCTATCAATGTGCTTTTGTCCTTTTCTGTCACTGACTATGCTGCGCAGGAACATCTTGCATCAAGTATTCGCACAGCTTACGCTGTATAGAAGAGAGTAAGTTCTGCATGCGACGAGTCAGATTTTATCTCCCGAATTTACTTTCCTCCGCCAAGTGGCTGTCACTGTCACAAGAGTCATCGTCCGATCACGGTGTAATACCGTCAATCGCGCTGCCGCAAACAGTTCATTTTCGGTTGTCTTACTATTTCTGTCCACTGGTGCTGACGAGACCAGTTGTTTTATGCGGAAGGATAAAACTACTATAGACTTTGCCACAAACCCCTCCAATTTTTGTCCCCCCTTTCACAAGCCATCACTCGTGACTGAGTAGTGCTTGGTTAATATGCCTTATGATGTAAAGCACCATGCATCATCTTCAACTTCGACCCCACTGATTTCTACGCAAATGTATTAACACAGATCATGAACTATGTAGTCACGGAAGCCGCATGGTTCCAACCCTTGCTTTTCGACGTTGCTGCTCCATTTTGTGGTCGTTTGTATCTACGCGTGAATCGACTGCTTCTCCCCGCTCCGCATGGTCCTGGACCACCACGGTTATACTGTCTTGCTGGATGTAAGGCACAGAGCAATGTGCCTTCACGAAGTAAGGGGTATTGTGACAAAATCGAAACCAAACGGAGCGTTTAAAGTTAATCCCCCACGACTGTTTATTTCGGCTGCCTTTGTTATTGTTCGCTTATAGTAGTCTGTTGTTTAGCTTGCTGTATCTGACAACCTCAGTCGTTTATATACACCTGTTCGTCGTCTGCATGGTCTGGTGGCCTCATAAACGCTTCATGCTGATCTCGTACTTTTCTGCTCGTCGGAGCGCTACCGTCTCCTGTTTACTTCGCAAGGTTCGCAGTCATCGTGTGCATCGTTTTCAGCTCGGCCCGTTCGTCCGCAACCGGAAACTGTCATACTGAATTCATTACAGAGCATAAGATACAAAGAATAGGCAGTGTGTCCGGACCAAATACAACGAAGGAATAAGTAAGAGAATGATGTGCAAAAGTTTTCGGACCCAAACGAATCTATCGTCAAGCGAATTTCAGATGGACGAGAGGGAGCATTAAAGGATTTGGACGATGTTTCGAGGAGGTGCCTAGTCTGTCTCAAGGCCGAAAATAATTAGAGCGTCGCCAGTGGGTACACGTACTTGGTCATTTGTGCTGAAAGAGGATGTCGCTTCAATGAATAGAGATTAAATGGTGATTATGGAACTAAAAAACGCCCGTTGTATGAGAAACTGATCAATCAACCAAAAGTCATATGTAGGCTGAGCACATAAGAGAAAAGACTGTGGACGGCATTCCACATATCAATATTTGCACCCTTCACGTGATTGTGAACGGTAACAAAAAGAGTAAATAAGAGGAAACCCTGATTAAATAGAACGAAGGACGAAACTCTTGTGCCCCAGCTGCGGCTGTTGTATAGATATACGGATGTATTCCAATGTCGTTTACCAAAATAGGCTCATCGATCTATGGTTCTGTGAGTCAGATTTTAAAGTGTAAGCAAAAGTACAAAACAGAGGAATAAAAAAGATTGAGTTATAGGAGATCGCATACCAGTTGCGGTAAATATACGGTGGACGGTAAAAACTGTGTAAAATTCATCAGAGACCAATTTCAGTTGATCACTCAGAAAAATGATAGCTATTCCAGATTGAGAGACTTACTTGTTCGTCCAGACCTTCGACGGTTGATTTCAAATGGGCCCTTTCGACTGCAGCATGAGAAAGTCGCTCTCGAAGAGTGAGAAACTCAGCGTTGCTCGCTCTCAGTTGATCGACGGCCTCCTTGGCCTCGAATTCTGCGGCCTTCACACGTGCAATTAGCTGTTCATGGGAGAGCTCGTTTAGAAGAACGGATGCCGCACCATCACTCGAATCATGTCCATTCACGACCACTGACTGCATATATGCAGTTCGGCAGGAATGAGAATCCTCTTTGTGTAGAAGACACTGTTTTAGTCGCCCTATCTCTCTTCGCTCTTCATGTAATATGACCCTAAGGAGAGCTAATTCATTTGCCAGCTCCTCCGCCGACTTGTGCTGTGAAATTGGGAATGTGGTAGGGTCATCTAGCACTTGCCCATTCGCTTTTTCGCCCATGTAAGCAAGACCAATCGGGGGAGCGTCGAAATCAGGCATCCTGTCAGGTTGGAGAACTAAAACGTTGAAAACAAATTAAGAAGGCATCAAGTAAAATTTAATACTAGTGGAATAAGATACCAGTGACTAGACGAGTGATTGATGAGACAAACTTAATCGTAAAAGCAAACCCCTATTGGGCCTGGACATTTGCATAGTTGAGTGCAATAATTGGACAAAAAACAACCATTAATAGGTGCTTCGGTAAAAGAATACAAACTGAAGAAAAATACCGGCGTAAAATATTGTAGTCTTCAAATCTTGGGATATAATGAGACAGGACTCTTCAGAGCAATAAAGGTTGCGCCCAATGATTTTAAAAGAGTAAAATCTTGAATCTCAGGTTGGCTACTCCGCACGGTTGAGAATGTATATTTCTCGACCGTGTGAGACAGAGCCCAACTAGTCGAACTGATCATATGGTGCAACATGCTCTCAAAGTGCAGATGTTATTTCCGATTTTCCGGGACAGTTCAAAATCAGGTTTATGGGAAGTTCAATTGGTAGAAACGGTAAAAAGGAGTTTAAAAGTAGGATGAAAGTGGTTATTGAAAGTAGCACAGTATAATCAATACGGCTATCCGTGGAACCGACTATTGGGAACCTGCTTTCATGTGGGGTATCCCCTCGAAAGGTTTCATCTGCACTTCCATGTCCCATTTGACTTCGTGTCAGTGTGGTATAACAGCAAGCGAGCCATCACCCTACTAGCACATCTTATGGTCGTTCTTATTTTTAATGTGGAATAGGTTCGCAAAGATAAAAGATCTCCCATGTTATTTGTCTTTTAACACACTTTTAAGCCATTCAACCCATTTCGGCTTCTGACTCTTTCAAGTATAACATCTTTTCCGCTCGACTAGTGTGTGTTAATTTGCCTTGAGTAGGCATATATTTCCTCACCAATAAATCTGTGACAATTCCCCACACGTGGGTGTATTAAATAATCCGGAAGCTTCATTCCATCACCTCAGGAGATGGGCCCAATCGTAGCTAACAATAGAAAAAAGAAGTGGCGAAATATAAATAATGATAAATGAGTGGCGTATATTCGGCAAGTTCTGCTTCAGGTTGTAACTAGAGAATACATAGTCCGCAAAGGAATCTCTTAAATTCCGACACCGATTTCGCCTCGACTGGAGTCTCCAGCAAGTTGTTCCAATATTTCACCACGTTCGAAGTAGAGGGTGAACGATGCGCTTTAAACTTGGAGCCACTAGTTCGTACCGGTGTCCGTGTGTGCTGCTTGGTGCGCGAACGTGCAGCAGCAGTCTTAACATAGGGAAGTGGTCCAGATGCAGTATCCGGTGCGTCATTATGAGATCAATTCGAATAACAGGGTAAGAAACTTATGTCTCATACATCGGTCGTCGTACAACGTACCCCGTAAACTGGGGATGAGCCGGCTAGCTACATGCTGGACCGGTTTCAGTCTTTGCTCCTCACCTGTTGGGATGGGACAGTAAACGGGTGAGCAGTACTCAAGTACCAGTCTTACCATGGAAGAGAACAGACGGATCGCACTCTTCAGGGCAAGTGCAGAAGCTGCGTTTAAGTGCCCAAAGCAGACGTGATCCGTTTGTGTACACTCTGTTTGTGCTGTCGACAGGCTTCAGATCACAGCGTGATCGTACGCCTGGATACTCTACAGAACTGGCGGGATGCAGCGGGTGATCGACCAGGTTGTACATACGCCCATTACCATCCCTCCCCAGACTCATAAAGGAGGACTTGGCCGGGTTGACCGGCAGGTTAACTTCTGCAGACCACCGGGATCGACGGTCGAGGGCCTGCCGGTGGAGGTCACAATCGTCAGGAGAATTAATAATCCTTCAAATCTTCAGGTTATCTGCAAACAATGCGAAGGTCGACCGAAGAAACGGAGATACTTTGTTAAATTGAATCAGGAACAAAATGGATCCCAGTACTGTGCCTTAGCGGACGCAGCTAGTGGACGGGTCCCATTCCGTTACCTGGTTATCCACCTGAACCCGCAATCTTCTCCCAATAAGGAAGTCACTGATCCACTGGTGCAGAGCGCCACACATCCTCAACTTGTAGAGCAGGATCTCATGGTCCACATTATCGAAAACTTTACTGAAATCAATGTAGTTAACATCTAGCTACTTCCCCCGGTTCAACGATTGCAACTACTCCTGCCGCGTCAACAGCAGATTGGTGATGCACAACCGGCCCTATATGAAGCAGTGCTGTGTCGGAGAGCTTTCGACGCCAGCAGCTGGAGAAGACCTTTTGTCACAATCTTCTCGAGCACCTTCACCAAAACAGAGGTGAGACAAACCGACCGATAATTATCCACACTGCGTGGGTCACCGAATTTTGAAATGGGCTTCAGTACCGAGCACTTCTAGTCGTTCGGCAGCGATCCGTTGAACAGAGCTGTCCCGGCAGGCGAAATGATGGCCGATAAGGAGTTTAAAATAAGCAGATGAAGAACATGTGATCCGGCAGGTTTCATGCAGTCCAGATCGGCGAGTAGACCGCAATCCAGGCCATCGAGTTCAGTAGGAGCTGCACACATCGAGCTCGGCATTGACGCATGCCCAGTTGTAAATATGGAAGCTAAGTGCTCCGCCAATACGGACGCAAGTTCAGTGCTGGAGGTGATAGGTTGTCCGTCAGTACTCTCTAACACAACTACGTCACTTGCGGGTCTCGAACGCCACTTCACGTAAGCAAAAATCTTCTTCTTTATGACCATTAGCTGGAGAGACAACGCAAAAACCACAGGTGACAGTATTCAGGTTTGGATGCTAACAACGTGGCGGTGATCAAGTGTCGAAGAGTGGTTGACTTCGCCAGTGTGTCAGGTCAGACAAGATCAGTGCGAGGCCCTGACTCGAGAATATGAACCAAGTCGAGCTGAGGTAGCGTTTAGATAAGTCCCTTTATGAGCGTGTATCACGCCTGTGACCGGTCGTCAATCCAGGAGTTAACTTAAACAGTAGCAGAGTTAGCAAACATGACAAACCAATGTAGGGGTAGTCGATAAGCATGTGATGGGAATGATCTAACCACTATAGCCAGTACAAGTTTCTTTGGCATCAATCAATAGGATACAGACTGACAATCGCATGTGGGGCTCCGTGAGCTCAGTGCGTGTTCGTGGCTAGTGACAGGAAAATTTTGAGATTCCCAAAATATATGGCCTTTGTATCGGCAGTTGCCTTTTCACTGGAACACCGCTCTTACTTCATCTGTTGTGAATTTATCAATTTTCACTGTTTCATGATATTTTCTTCGGCCAGACAAGTTACAAACTCACTATTACTGCACTCCATGACATTTTAAAACGGAATTTGATATGCTGCGTGGCGTCCCCCCATTTACCTCAGCAAATGGATGTGCTCAAACTGCAGAGGATGCAGCCAATGTTCTACGACTGCAATATGCTTCAATATTTCGACGCGCCACCAGCAAATGTCACGTACCTGTCCCATTCTCAAAGACGCCAATATTCCTACACGTCACTTTAGTTCAGCGACCGTGTTGAGGAAGCTAATGTCGTTGCGCATCCATAGTTCTCTTAGTGTTGACAACATTCTCTCGAAAGCACTGAAGATGAAAGCTACGAGGATAACTGAGACATAAGCTTGATTTTGCAGGATGCCTGGATGAATAGCGGGTGCACAACATGTGGAAACAGGGTGTCATTACCCCAATTTTCAAGGGTGATATATATATATATATATATATATATATACATATATATGAAACAATTAGTTTCCGAGAAAACTTTTAGCAGAAAAGTTAACACAAGAGTGCCGTGGTAGCAGGCCGGGCACAGACGACAAAGTGACATGAATGTAGGTGTGTACAGTTTGGTCAGTTTGCCACTTTAACTGCGCTCTTATCATGACCCTATAAATTCACACGTCTGTAGTATGCACTTGAAAACATGCAGAGAAATTTTTCCGGGATATATATATATATATATCCTGAGCGTTAACTTTTTCGCGTTTGTGACACCTTTAACCATCTTTTTCTGACATCTTGAACATTTCGCGGATTTTTTGATAACCATTATATTTCATATGCTCATTGTGCGAAGAGTTATGTCGAAATATAAGTATGTTTTATTCGATATATTTTGTGATATCGTAAATTCAAGTTATCAGTTATTGGTTGACATCCCCGTTGTGGCTGCGCTTGATGTGCACATTGACAAAGTGCCTAGCTGTCCATTACCCACTATCTCTTCTCGACCGGTTATAGGAGACAGTTGGTTGTTGCTGGGGAGGGACAGGATGCACGGTCCTCGTGCCTGTGCTAGCTTAAAGAGTGGTTCCATCCAGTGTGGAGCGGACTATGGTCCAGCCACCGCCTTGTGTGCGCTTGATTCCCCAAATACAGCGTGCTTGTGTTTGCCTGTGAAGGAGTGTGAGCCGGCTCCGTTGATGAAACGTGGTTCCCATCCACATGTCTCCCGGTCTTATTCCTTCGAGTTTACACTGGATATGGGGTGTGTGCTTGGAGCTGAGGGTGGTGCAGCGCAAGCGACCTAGGTCCCTCTGTAGGCACAGGCGACCTGCGGCTGGCCACAGTGACAGGCAAATCCGAAACCGGATGCCGCCAACCATATATAATCTGTGATACAGTTATCGTGCCATCGGAATCATGGCTGAATATGAAAACAGTAGGAATAATAAGAAAATAACAACAAAGGCGTTTTTGTCCAGTTAGCTATTCACAGTTTTTGAAACTTTTTAAATTGTTTTTTAGGAGTAGGAAGAAGAGACACCGCAACACACCGGTGCACACGTCCGTCACTGACATCGATCTTAGCCACGGCATCCAAGGTCTTCAACCAGCAAGTATCCGCATCTCTCCGACTCTAACCAGGTAGTCGACAACAACCGACCGAGGCCAACTGCTTCAGCAGCTTTCAAGGGTGGTAGCTGTTCGGGACCCGTCAACTATCGCCCAGTGATTCTCCTCCCGGTGCTCTCAAAGAGGATGGAGTCGATCATAAGTGAGGTTCTACTGGGCTACTTTGAAAGGTCTGACATCACAGCACAGGAACAATACGGATTCTGTCAGCATCAGTCATGTACTACCAAGCTTCTGATTGCGCGTGGCAGTTGGACCGAAACAGCCGACAGTAGGACCGGCACTAATGTCATCTAACACGACTTTTCTAAATCCTTCGGCCGCTCGGATCACCGAATCCTTCTCCAAAAGCTGCATACGTTCGGACTAGGTGACAAGGTCCTTTGATGGAGCGGAAACTTCCTCCTTCAGCGCGGCTTCAAGTTCGGGTTAGGAGTTCATTATCTGGTCCTATTGATGTGGACTGCAGAGTCCCAAAGGGCGTTAGGACTTGGCCTATTCCTGGTTTTCAACAATGACCTCGCGCGTGTCATCGAGTCAAATTTACTGCTTTGTACCGAGTGCAACGAGATATGGCGGGCAATCGGTTGTCAGGACGATCAAGACGTGCTGCAAAGAGACTGTCTTTGAATGATCGAAGGCAAAAATACTTCCGTTTAACGTGAACAAGTGCAAGACTGTACGTGTACCCCATAAGCCAACGTACGCATATAAGCTTGGATACCACATGCTGAAAACTGCCTCACAGGAGTGCGATCTTGGGGTGGTGGTGCAAGACGCCCTCGGCTGTTCGGCGCAGTATTTGAAGGCGTCCAAAACCGTTAACCAATAGGTTGGTCTCTTACAGAGGGCATTCGGGAGGTTCGACCCCTCCATCTTCCCCAAATGCTCAATACGTTGAGACCCATATGGAGTACACGATTCAGGCCTGGCAACCCTGATTAAAACGCGATCTCGTTGCACTAGATACCCTACAGCGAAGAGCATCCAAAAATATGAAGGGATTGCTCCGCCTGCCGTACCATTTGCGACTGAAAACTTTAGAAGTGTACAGTGAAAGTTATCGCCGACTACGGGGCGACCTCATTCTGACGTTCCAGATCATGAAAAACGCCGATCACGCTTGCCGCAACCTACACAAACTTAGCCGTATCACAAAATTGTGGTGTCATAAGCTGAAACTGGCTACGCAATACAGTCGGTTGGAATGCCGTCGGAACTATGTTTCTCTTCGAAGTTAACACCCCTGAAACATCCTTTCGACTTTTGTCATTTCTGCACCCACGCTACCTGTTGTTAAAAGACGACTAGACGATGTATTACAACACCTGCATTACCTGATCTGACTTCGGTCCACTTAGTGACAACAGGACGCAAACAAACATTGTGCTTTCCAGCCCTCACAAAATCGGTGTAAACGGATATAGATGCGTGCGTAAACGGATATCCATGTGTGTTATCGAACATAACTGGACTTACAGTGGATGTATAGTTACGAACATCGCGGTGAGTCCACCAGTGTGAACCTAAATATGCTGACAACATTTTCCGATATTTTGATTTTTCACTATGACCATTTTGAGGGACATGTTAAGCTACAGCTTTTTTATCCGTGTAAAACTATTGTTTTGTCGCGCGCACTGTGCGAAGCCGTCAGATGGCATTTTGTAACCTAAGGAGTCGTCGTCCAGATCAATGAACTTGGTTTCCACACTGTACCGTCAACGGGATGCGAATTCGGAATCAGATTTTTCGAGTGACACTCGTGTTCCTAATGCCATCTCAAGTCGTACAATGCTGCATTTTTAATGTTACTTTAGAACATCCGCATTAGCTATTGTAAATTGCTAAAAATGGACCCATTCGGGCAGATAAAGTTTGTAATGATTTGAAGAAGGTGGATAATTAATCGGAGCACGAATGTTCATTGAAAGGCAGATAGTGTAGTCCGTACACAGAGATCCGTAATTCATCGGAAAGTAAAGTAGGGAACGATGAACGAGCATTTTGAGAGGAACACACAAAGAAAAATGGTGATGAGGATAAAATGAAAAAAACAAAGACGCTGACCTGGAAAGTGTCTGGGTGTGTATTTATCGTTCACTGATTGCTCCATAGTTTCAAGCTGACCCGCTGACATTGTAAAGTTGGGGACACTCGGGTCAATTAGTGCGCTATCAGTGGGGGGTGGACTGAGATCATTGGGAATTTCCGTAAGAGGAGAAAAGCTGCTCAGTTTAGAAATGGGGGTTTTCGCTTCCATATTTTCCGAGACAACTTGTATATTCACACGCGCCATTAAACGTGCTTCCTCTTTCATAGGCAATTCTTGTTTATTATACACCGGGATATGGTTCCATAGAAGTTCAGTCTGCACTTCCACGTCAAAGGCCGATGTGCCGTTAGGAAGCGAACCAACAGAAAGTTCGTGCGAACGGGAACTGACGTCAGTGCGTTCTGGATTAGACAGCTCGGGAGATGCGGTGCTACCTGCTCCAGATAAGTCACCTAAGGCAGCAGGCCGCTTGGATTGCTTTTCTTGCAGTATGTCCAACAACCGCTGAAGCTTTTGGCAATTAACGCACACCTGTTCGCCCTCGACTGCCGCGTTGACATCGCTCGGCCGCCCAGCAGCGGCGAGTGCACTCTGCAACCGCACAACTTGAATTCTCAAAGCGCGAGAGTCTGCAGTGAGTTCAGCCATCTGGCCGCGTAATTTTGTCGTTTCTCGATTGCTGCTAACCTGTTGCTCAGCGATTTCAGACCTCAGCTGAGTTACTTCACTACGAGCCATCTCTAGTTCGATTAGGGGATTGCCAAATGAACTCGCCGAGGCGTCAACCGCCCCGATTGATTGCGGACCAACACTGATGGCTGTTAGAAATAAAAAGAAGAAAAAGGTATTTTGACTATTGGAACATGGTCGATAGAAACAAATTAGAGGTGAGACGCAAGAGAGAATAAAAAGTTAGCGTGACGAGAAAAGGCAATTACCGTAAGATATTAAATATTTCATTTGGTGATTATTCGCGATTTTTGTGCATCAGCTATAATACCCGCGAGAATTTTCGATTGAACCGTGATCGATTTGTTATAAATGCAAGTAATTCCGTGGTCATGCCTTACAGGCGCCTTATGAAGTCAATAAATTATCACGATTATTACTAAATGTGATGAACTGGAATTGATAAAAATTGTGTTCATGATCAGCGATGAATTGTGTTGTGGAATTTGCATAGCTCCGCGAAACTTGCACAGACTTTGCCCGGGCTCACCTCAGCCAAACTGTCACGATGCGGCGACTCAGACTGTGAAAATAAAAATCCAGCATTCTTCAGGACAGCGCTGTACCTATCACCTCAAGTCGGAATGAAACAATTGTGTTCTCCTCAGGACACTGCCGTATCTACTGTGTTAAGCGGCAATGAACTATCTTAGTTCTCTCCTCAGGACACAACCAATACGTAGCAACTCATGTGCCTTGCCGACCTTCTTCTATAGTTTATGTATTACGTGGCTATACTATCCAGCTATAAAAGCGAAGGCAAGATTTGCCTTTGATTGAGTCAAGAAACGAACTCTTACTATCGGCCAGTATTTCTTTTATGGGTCACAGTGCGGTCGTACGAGGTTAACCGTTTCGTCTCCACTCTCAGCTCGCGTGTACATCCGGCGGTTATGACCCTTAGGCCGTACCGATCTCAATTTAATTGGTTACTGTGCGGGAAGAGCGTTTCAGCCGTTCTGGCAATGAGTCAAGACAATTGGAACGTGTTGTAAAACATTGATAGGTCCCACAGGAGCCGATAGACAGGTGGGGAAAAACAAAGAGAATGGTACTACATCAGTGGCGATCAGTCATCTGGGTGAAGCCAAATTAAGATAAATGTTGGTCACTCAGTACATACCTCTCCGTACCGTCCAGAAATTCTAGCTTATGAAGCAATGACAAGTCAGGAAGAAGTAAGAGGAATCATCAAAGTGGAGCAATTTGTCAAGAAGGAGAATAACGACCAGATGGTTCAGTAGTGTGCATCTCGACACAAGGCGGTGGTGAAATTTCTTAACCATCTATTGATTTGAAGACAAAGAACTGAAGTGACGAAAATAATACACAGTAAGAGGAAGAACAAAAAGGAAACATTGTGCCAAATTACTGCACGATTACACCGAAATATGTTGAAGAAGTTCGAAGCTGAGTGATTGAAGACAGGAAAATAGGACAAAATTCTTCATAAGCAGGTAACAGATGCTTAGCTGATGATGGGCATGAAGTGTTTATGAAAAGAGTAAGAGTACATTCGAGGACGGTATAAGAACTGATATCAGAATATACTCTGGTGCTTGCGAAGTGTCTTTAGCATACGCGACGGTAAGAAGGAGACATAATTGGAAACACTGTACCCTATGCAGCAAATTTATTCGGTAGAGTTTAGACAAACAGGATACTGTGTTCAGTTAAGAGAACACCTTGAAGAAAAGGGATTCACAACACTTGGGAAGCAGCCGATGCAGGTCTGCTGTCTACCTGTAAGAGCAATACAACCAGACGAAAGGAGAACCATTTCTCGTGTGGTATGAAATTAAGCACTTCCAAATGTCCTAGATAATGGCTTATTGGTACAGCTATGTTTGCAGTCAACCAGATGTGAACAACAGCTATAGTGTCCCTGTACCGTGGAGAATCGTTACACTAGGATTTGACGAAGGTGAGAAATGGCCGAGATTTGTCAGTCCAAGTCCGATGACATTTCGCTTGCGAATCAGATGAGACAGGTCCGCAATTTTTATTAACACATGGTCTGTCAAGGGTTAGTCTGATGACACAAAGGACCGGATTTACTCTTCATTGTCATCCGTGATAAGGTCCGTTCCAAAGAGCGACCGGCTATTCCTACTGGGTGATTACAACCTGCGTGTTGGAGATTATGCCACGATGGCGAGGACTAAGTCAGTTGGTAGGATGATCGCCTGATTTCACTATGCACCCATCTCCCGTGACCCGACGATCAAAAACATACAGTTCCCACTGGGTCCCAGTGATACTAGTAGTACATGGACGCGTCCACGAAATAGAGACGATCAGATGCCCGGCTATGTCAGTAGTGTGCAGTACTGTGAGTTGTATGGCGCATGCACCGTGAGGAAATTAGTGTGGCGCCAAGCAAAGTTTGATACGCATATGCATATGCCAGTCAGGAAAGGAGTCGGCGGACGAACTCAGGTCGGAACCTGCATCAGCAGCTGCAGGAACAGGAATGCCTCACATGTGAACTATCAGCAACGCGGATCAATGAGAAACGCCAGTTGACTTATTGACCTGTAACACTATTATCCAATAATTCGTGTTATTTCTTACAATCTTCGCCCTACTTTCCCATAAAAAGTGATGCGGATCAATGAGAAACGATCGATGCCCTATTGTTACACTAGAATTGCCACTTGACCTATTGACCTGTAACACTATTATCCAATGATTCGTGTTATTTCTTGCAATCTTCAACTTACTTTCCCATAAAAAGTCTAGCCAATTCAGCACCGATTTACCTGGCCTGAAGAAGCGCTTGCGTCAAGAGCGAAACATTGCCATAATAAAAACTTACAAAAACCGATTTATATACAAAACTTGAAATCCATGTATTTCATTTCTGTTGTGAACCAGGAGTGGTTCGTTAAACAACGTTGAGAAGAGACACGACCTGAAGAAGATAATGGTGACTCACCATGGCTACGTCGACTTCAAGATTCAGTCGGCGACACATAGTACTACTATAACAAAACAGGTGACCGCCGTCGCAGAGATGAACAAGTGTACAAACGGTAAACAGCCCGATGAGTTTGATGATCGCAATGCGAGCACTGACGCATTGGGGTCAAAGGACGATGTCGCATTTGCTGCACATGAATAAGATCCCGGTGGTGCGGAGAAAACGGGTGCGTTTCGAAAGCTGCATAGTGGTCTGATTCGGGAGCGTCACTACATCAAGAACTCACTGATCATGTCAGTTGGGATAGATCCTAAGCATTGGGGAAAGATGATCATCGATAGCCCGATGGCAATATCGCAAACAGAGATCGATGTCTCAAGAACCCCCAAAGGTATACAATCGTGTGATGTAGGTAGCGTGTTACCATCTAGCGACAGAGTAATCCCTCTAGGAACCGGCATAAACAGAAGCCATAAAACTAAGAAAAACACGGCAGCAACTCATGAGTTGTAGAAATTACCCACCTACAACCACAATACGAGGCCATATGTTGAACCGATCAAAACCAAAAGCAAATATCTACTAGCTACTCCTAGCCATCATCCCGTACCATGCTGTAGTCATTGGCAAGGCAATGATAATAGGAGGAACTTTGTCAAGCGGGTTAAGCCACTTCCTACTCCATCTCATACTTGTGCATCCCCTCACGCCACCTGTCTCCACAATCTTTTTTAATGAATTTGAGAATGAGACCGCTGGTATTCCCACTCCCACACCTGACAGAAGCCAACTATATGCTCCCATGGTTTATGGAACTTCTTCAACTGTCTAGATTAGCTCAGCGCCATGTCAACCGCAATGTTGACTTGATACCTCAACCCTCTCCTTTACCGCAGCTATACCGGCGTTCACCGATGGCACACTACTCCTATCCACACAAGTACTAGTAATAGACTCGTTCCCAGTGCTCCCACACATATCCATCGCAACAATAATCCGCGATTAAAATGACTCACACAACAGTGACACGAAGAATACAGCATCCACTATTAATGGTATGGTTTCAGTACTTTTGACTAATGTCAGATTCAGTAACACTAAACTGTATTTACTAAGTATGCTTGCACAATTCAAGGAGCTGCAATCAATCCTCGTTCCTAAAGCGTGGTGGTACTCCGATACTCTAATGATCCCCAATTATCACCTTTTCGTAAAGAGTGCCGTTGAAAAGCTTGCAACCGACGTTATCAGAAACGAATTTTCCAGCACAACCTGAAAAATATGCTCACATCCTATCCAGCGTGCAATTAAACTAGCTGCAATTAGCATTCAGTCCAAAATTTTGCCACTCTCAACGGGTTCACGGGCAAGTTCATCTGGATACCCAGTCTAAAAATCTAATGCATCGTCAGGATTGACTCCTATTTCTCCTCTTGCCAGTGACATCTTCAGAACCATGTTGGTGCACCTATACCAACAATATATGGGCAACGAAATCAAATCTTCCAATGTGCTGTCTAGGAGACATGAAGACGTTGTCAAGGAACTAACATCGAATCATTTTCAGCCAAGCAAAGGGGTAGAGCGGACTACGTATGAAGATTGCATGCAAAAGACACTAGCGAGTCCATGCGCGACATCTTCAAAAAAGATAGAACTACACTGGACGAGACAAAAATCACGAACTTATTGAAGGACCTGTGGAATTTAAATATCATAATTGCAGCATAATCTGAGTAGCTAACTCCACCCCGTCTCTATGGATTACCCAAAGTGCACAAAACGCAAATCCCTGTGCGCCCGGTCGCGAAATGGACTGTGGAATTGTTAAAGCCGGTACGTAGAGCACTGTTTCATGCGTGAAAAAATGTTTTTGGTTATGTTACACTAGTGGAACAGTTGAGTGCACATAGGAAATTAATGCTATCGTTCGATATCGAGTCAGTTTTCGCAAACTTTCCGTTGCTAGAAAGTGTCGATTTCATATGTGAATACATGACAGAAAACCACATAGATATTGGTATCGCAATGCCCAAACTGAAGGAACTGAGCTTAGGATGCAGTTTCGACGGGCAATTCTTGTTTGAAGGATGATACTACAGACCGACAGATGGGGCCACAATGGGATCACACCTAGGATCGTTAGTTGCTGACAATTTGCTAGCC